CTTATAGATAAAGACTAAATTTACTTGTTACCTTTGATAATAATAAAGAATACTATAGCTAAAATGTTGGCTTCCTGATTCAGTAAATATTTATTTGTAGTAATTAGTAGAAACACATGGGCACTTAAATTCACAGCTACAATTTTTAAACCTTACAGCTTATTTATTTTTATTGTTTTATTACACATATTTAAATATACAAAAAGAATATGATCATAAATACCCAACTGCTTGACACTATGACAATTTTTTACCGTATTTGCTTTAGATTTCACTTTACAAATGAATATTCCAAGCCTATAACTATAGAATCTCTACAACTAGTAAGCTAACATCAACTCATTTAGGATATCAACCTAAATTAGACTAAATTTAAAATGACAAATGGCTGTGGAGTTGAAATTAAGCATTCTAATGCATCCTTGCTAAGAGAGGTAAGGACATGTGACGTCAGATCTCACGGGACACAGCTCTAGGAATGCTAGTCATTGTGCTCATTCGTATGTCCTTCCCGGGGATCTCTTCCTCGCCTACAGCTATTGCTATCCTACTCTGAGAGCTCAAGATCCAGTGGAAATCAGTCCAAAGGCTGGTGTGGGTCAATGACATTCTCTTTAAGAATGTGAGTGTCAGGCCAGGCATATGGAGGAGAACCTTGACACTTGGGTCAACAAGCTGAGCTCCCAGCTGACAGCCAACACCAACTGTCAGCCATGTGAGGGGACCCTTTTGGAAATTTCTGGCTAAATGGGCCTCTAGATGACTGCAGCTCCAGCCAACACCACTTTGGAACAGAAGAACTACTCTATTGAGCCCAGTCAACAGAATTGTGAGAAATAATAAAAGGTTGTTATGATGGTAGTTTTAATATATATATATATATACACACACACACACTTTTTTAGAACATGTGTAGGTTTACAGAAAATTTGCAGAGATTTCCCATATATCCTAAACCTAGTTTCTGCCATTATTAACATCTTATCTTAGTATATTTGTCACAAGTAATGAACCAATACTGATACATTATTATTAACTAAAGTTCACATTTTATTGAGATTTCCTTAATTTTTTTTTTTTTTTAAGAGACAGTATCTCACTATGTTGCCCAGGCTGGATTTAAACTCTGGGCTCAAGGGATCCTCCCACCTCAGCCTCCTGAGTAGCTGGGACTACAGGTAAGGGCCACCATGCCCAGCTATTTAAAAAAATTTTTTTGTCGAGACAGAGTCCTGTTACATTGCCCGGGATGGTCTTGAACTCCTGGGCTCAAGCAATCCTTCTGGCTCAGCCTCCCAAAGTGCTGGGATTACAGGCGTGAGCCACCATGCCCAGTCAATAAACTCTTTTTTAAAACTTTCTTATTATGGAAAATTGCAAACATATACAAAGTAAATACAACTGAACTCCTACTTACCCATCACCAAGCTTCAACAGTTGTCAATGTTCTGCCATGTATACCTGCACCCCAATCGACTATTATTATTTTACAGTGGCTTCAGATATAACATACCTAACATTGTAATTGTCATTTTTATCATAATTATAAATTGTAGCACCCCTATCAAACACAGAACACCTCTATCTCCCCAGAAAGTTTTTTCATCTGCTTTCCCTTTAACTAGATCTTAAACAAATCCAGATGCCCTTTTCTCAATTATCAACCTCCTCCACTGCTCGGCAGCATCTGAATTTACTGACTGAACCTTTTTCTTGAAATTTCCCTCTATGATTTCTACGATGCAAACCATCCCAATCCATCCTCAAGCCATGTCAGTTTTACCTCCAAAATACGCCTCAAGTCTGTCTCTCCTCCACTTCCAGTCCCACCACACTAACACCGTCCTCACTCTTCTCTCCCGCCTGGATGGCCGCAGTGCCTTCTCACTGGGCTCTGCTCCTGCCTCTCCCCAGTCTGCTCTCCAGACCACAGCCAGAGCGATCTCTTAAAACGCAAACCTCATCCCACCAGTCCTCAACTGAATGTCCTTCGACGGCTGCCCCGTGCACGAGAACAAGACCACATTGCGCACAGTGGCTTTGAGGCCTTGCGAAGTGTCTGTCTCCCTCTCTAACCTCCTGTCACACCAGGCACGCAGGTCTCTGAGGGTTCTTGGAAGAGGCCAAGGGCTTCTGCAGCTGTTTCCTGTGTCTAGAACACTGTTTGTCCCGCTCTTCACACAGCTGGCTCTCTCGCCCGTAGCTCTCAGCTGAAATGTCCCTTTCCCAAAAAGGCCTTCCTTGATTTGCCTGCACTCATCCTCCCAGCCACCCTCTACTACATCGCTTTATTTTATTTTCTTCATAGTAGTTACCATCACCTCTGCTTACTGTCTGTACTTATGTTTATTTGTGTCTCCCACTAAAATGTAACCACCTTGAGAGTATGAATTGTGTCTTTTTGGTCTATTGTTCTATCCTATGATAACATGTGCTTCAGAATTATTTATTGGGAAAAGAATGGATTTAGCCAGGCACAGTGGCTCATGCCTGTAACCCCAGCACTTCGGAAAGTTAAGGTGGGAAGATTGGTTCAGCCTAGGAGTTCGAGACCAGCCTAGGCAGTACAGTGAGACCTTGTCTCTACAAAATATACAAAAAAATAATTAGCCAGGTGTGGTAGTGCTGCCTATAGTCACAGCTACTCGGGAGGCTAAGGGGAGAGGATCACTTGAGCCCAGGAGTTTGAGGTTGCGGTAAGCTATGATGATACCACTGCACTCCAGCCTGGGTGACAGAGACCCTGACTCTAAAAAAATTTTTTAAAAAAAGGTATTTAGTAATTGAAAAATCAAGAAAGTTAGTCTTTTTTTTTTTTTAATTCCAAAAAGAAGGTAGAAACTAAGTTTATGGCACAATAAAATATTCTATATTGGTCCAATTACATGCTCACCAAGGGATCCTCCAATCACAATTTAGCTTTTTAGGGAGAAAATGTGCTTGCCAGAGGATCTAAGAATCCAATCTTCCTTAACATTATATTGTACTATAAATTAATAAATTAGGGTCTTGGGGAAGGTGTGTGTGTATCTCGAGAAATCCTAGGGTATATGTGTATCCTATGGTCCTGGGTATGTGTGCTTTTCTGCGTGTGCTTGAAGCAGATTCTGAGAGTGTATATGTATCTCACATGTTCTGACTCATCCAAATGAGATTCAGGGTCTAGATGAGTCTGATGAAAGTCTAGAGGTTTTAGCTTTGGCTACAAGAAGAAAGAAATCTGGTAAGATGGGAAAGAAAAACCAAGGGGACAGGACGGTGTCTGTCCCTCCACCACCCAGGGACCAGATCATAGTCCTGCAGAGGAGGAATTCAGGGAGGAGCTAAAGGAGTTGTTTTCAGGAGGGACTTGGAGACTCAAAGGCACCAGCTGTGCTTCTCTGAAGCCTGGCTGGCAAAATGCAACAGAGCTGCTGAGAAAAGTGTGGGCCTCCCCCCTAAAACTCAGTGCATGACAGCATGAGGGAGACAGGCAGCAAAGACTGGGATAATGGGAATCCAGTGACATTTTTTCCTTTTAAAAATTTTTGATAATTTATCAATACAAAATTCACATAACATAAAATTAACCATTTTAAGGTAAACAATTTAGTGTCACTTAGTATAGAGTTGTCTCTCAGTATCCACGGAGGATTGGTTCCAGGACCCCCATGAATACTAAAACCCATAGATGCTCAAGTCCCTGAGATCAAATGGCCTAGTATTTGCATATACCCTATGCACATCCTCCTATATACTTTAAATCATCTCTAGATTACTTATAATACCTAACACAAGGCCTGTCTATAACTTCATTTTCATGGATTTAATTAGTACTTGGCACATGGCAAATTTCCAGTTTTGCTTTTTGAAACTTTGTGGAACTATTTTTTTTGCAAATATTTTTGAGTCACAATTGAATCCATGGATTCCAATGGAATGGAGGGCTGACTTTATTTACAATGTTGTGCAACCTCCACCTCTGTCTAGTTCCAAAACATTTTCATCAGCTCAAATGGAAACCCCATACCCATTAAGCAGTCACTGCCCACTTCCCTTCTCCACCAATCCCCAGAAACCACCAATCGGCACTCTATCTCTGTGGATTTATCTATTCTGGACATGCCATATAAATGGAATCATCCAACATGTGACCTTTTGCTTCTGGCTTCTTCCACTTGGCATGATATTCTGGAGGTTCTCGGTGACAACTTGACACCTTCCCACTTTTGCTCTGATGGAGGAATAAGGCTACCTACAGAGAGTCCTGGCAGCAGTAGCAGCGGGAAAGGACCCCCTCTGGCAGATCCAGAGTGGCACATAATGCCACGGGTACTGTGGACTGTTCGGGAGACAACGTGAGAGACCCTCAGGAGCTCCAAGAAGAACTAGACACAATTCTGAATGCAGAAAGAGGGAAGTAAAGGTGATACTAAGGGTCTCATGTGACCATGCTGAGAACGAGCCAGGGAAATTCAGGACATGGAGCCAGATACAAACAGAAATACAGATAAACACACAGATAACTATTTATATATAGGGCTTGGGGATAATATTCCTTCAGTTTTAGACTTAAAAACCAAACCAAACAAATTACTGTTTAAAAATTTATAATAGAAAAATGTCTAAAAATTATCAATGACTACCTGTGCTCAGCATGAATAAGGACCAGGCTTTTACTTTTTATCTTATTAGTTCTGATTTGTTTTAATTTTTTTTATAAATACATATAACTTTCATAATAAAATTTAAAAGATAGAGTGCTAGTAGTCTAAAAATGAACCATAAAGTTCTTGGTACTTCAGTAAAACTTGTTTTAAATTTGTCACATACATTTAAAAAGTGTATTGAGAAGAAAAAAAGCGTATTGAGAAGAAAAAGCCTATCCTCTTAGGTTAGGCTCTAATTGAAATCAATCTAATTTCTAAATTCACCTAAAACAAAATACCCACTCTATTCATCTGCAGTCTCTACTGGTCAATTCTACTCAAACTCTTTGTACCTTTGAGTAATTTACTGACCTTGGAACTGCTTTCTTCCGATACTTCTCCCTCATTGGTTTGCATGGGAACAGACTGTGCAAAACTCTGCAGAAACTCACAAATATTGCCTAAAAGAGGTAAGAAGAGAAAAACATATGTCAGAAATTCAGGGCAAAAATTTGTTTTTGTCTTTTTAAAGGTTTAGATTGAAATTCTGTCACTAAGATCAGGAATACCGTGAAGCAATGACCTTCAGTAACATAGCTGTGTGTGTGTGTGTGTACACACACATGCATTTCAGGTAGGAGAGAGGAAGGGAGAGAGGTAGGGAAGAAATCTTCCCCCACCTGGGGGAAGAACATAGTTAGGAAAGGTTTGTAGGATTAAAATATTAATAGCTCTGAATGTCTTTCCCTATTTTACTTGGCTTTTGGCAGAGATGATAGTGAAATTCTTACAGGAGACACCAACCTGCAACAAAGGACGCCCACCGAGCAAAGTGGTGCACCAGCTGTTGACCCTGCGGCAGGGCACCCTGTCTCAGTTAGGCTGAGGCTACTGGAATTGGCCAGGTTTCTTGGGTTTATCATTTATGTTCAATATTCTTGGCTTTTTATGACTGAAATTATTCAGATTCACTCTAATGGTTGATCCCAGTTTTTTTCTTTATCCCATATTTTATTTTTATTTATTTATTTATTTATTTTTTATTAAGCACATTAAGAAAATGTGCTTAATAAACTAAATATCAGTTAATTTATTTTTATATGAGACTAAGCTACTACACACAAGGCAAGACAATAAAAAGTAATCACTTTTCCTCTGAGAATAAAATAAGCCAAACAAAAGTTTGTTAAAATTTTATGAAATAAAATGTGCCAAAAAGAAATTACTAAAAACTTATGCAACATTTTCATGAATTCATTAAATATGCAATTATTGAGGAACAATTACTCAAACTGACACTAAACAAATTTTCATTTCATAATACAGGTACGAATATTTACAAACCTGTCAAATATTTTAGAAGGCTCATACCTATAAAATATGAAAGCTAAAAAGATGGCTGGTGGTGTATGCTTTTTTGTGCTCAAGAATCATCCATGCACGCACTGGGGCCTAGCAATCTGTTCTGGTCCAGGATCCTCTATAATCAGCCACAAGACGTGAGCCAAGAAGGCACTTGCAGGGAAGCTGTTTCCTTTTCTGAAAGTGTTATCAAAAGATCTACTGTGGGCTGGGCACAGTGGCTCATGCCTGTAATCCTAGCACTCTGGGAGGCCAAAGCGGGAGGATCATTTGAGCTCAGGAGTTCGAGACCAGCCTGAGCAAGAGCGAGACCCTGTCCTACTAAAAATAGAAAGAAATTAGCCAGACACTAAAAATATATAGAAAAAATTAGCCAGGCATGGTGGCACACACCTATAGTCCCAGCTATTCAGGAGGCTGAGGCAGCAGTGAGGCAGAAGGATTGCTTGAGCCCAGGAGTTGAGGTTGCTGTGAGCTAGGCTGATGCCACAGCACTTGAACATAGGCAACAGAGCAAGACTCTATCCCCCCCCCAAAAAAAAAAAGATGTACTGTGCTCACCTAACAAGGGTTTTTGGGAACAAATATATATTTATATGATGTGAAATGTAAAATTGGTATAGCCACCTCTCAAGTGACATCCATTCACTCACTCCCGGATTAATCACCATTGCCCATTCCTACTGTAAAACACATAACTGATGTTCACAGCAAGTGAAACGGGCTTTTTCTAGTTGATATTGTCCCTCCCCTGTTTATGATAGCTGTACCAAAAAAAAAAAAAAATTGCTCTTGCTACAAAAATTAAGTTGATAGCATTTGAAAAACTCAACAACATACCCAGAAAGGTTTTGTACACAAATTGCTTCACAGTATCTTTAAGTTCTCTTACTTTACGGAAACAGAGACTGCTTTCATAGATGATGCGTTAAAGGCATAGCTGAACCAGAAGGAAACCTTGGAACTCCATTCATGCTCCCGGGCCCACGCTCTTGGACAGTCCTGGGTCCAGCGCCGCGTACCGTCTCCTCGCCCCTGCAGATCAACGCTCTGTTCCTCTCTACCTGACCGTGTGCCCCAAGGGACTCCAGCACTGGGCTCTCTCATCTTCTGGCTGCTGGCTGGGCTATGCCAATGGGAGGCACTCACAGGAGACAGGAGGGCAGAAGAGGAAGGCAGGCTGGCAGTGGTCGTGTTCCTCTATGAAAGACCACTGCTCCTATCTCGCTGACTTCTCCTTCAACTATAGCTTTTTTACTTTTATCCTTTCTAGATTCTCCTGTTTATTTGGCTCTTCTATTTTTCTCAATTCTCTTTCTGGCCTGACTTGCCTGGCTCAAATTAGTCCTCCCCTTCTCTGACAGTCACTGCTCTTTCCCTGACTCCTCTTCTATGCCCCCAATACTGACCTCTGTCATCTATCCTCCCCCACCTTCTCTACTACCCCCCTTTTTTAGGCTTTAACCAAGACTTTTGCCTCTACACTCACTTCTGAAAATCCATCATCTCCCAACAAGATCCTATCCATTTGTTGTTAAGTGGGCCCTTAAGTCTTACTTTCTCTACTACTCCAGCCCTCAATTTTCTAATGGGTAGAATAGTTAAGGCAGGCGTCCTCAAACGTCAGCCCACGGGCCACATGTGGGTGTTTTTGCCTGTTTGTTTTTTTATTTTAAAATAAGATATATGCAGCGTACATAGGAATTTGTTCATAGTTTTTTTTAAACTACAGTCTGGCCCTCCAACAGTCTGAGGGACAGTGAACTGGCCCCCTGTTTAAAAAGTTTGAGGACCCCTGAGTTAAGGGAAACCAACAAAGGCTACTAAACCACCCAGTGGCTGGCAACAGGGGAACCCTACCATTGCTAGGCCCAAAGGGGCAGGGAGCAGCGACCAGAACCTGGAGAGAGAGCTGTAGCTGTAACTGAAGAGTCAGACAGACCTGAGTCAATCTGACTCAGCCTCAGTCTCCTATTGAAACTTGGGGATAATAGTTATTCTGAGTATTAATTGATAGTATATTTGCACTTGGTACATAACAGGTGCTTAGTAAGTATATGCTGATTACCAATCACAAAGCATCCTTTACTCCGAATTCTTATTCTCCTTTAGGCTCACATCCCCAGTGGCTTCTAGGCCATTTCCTTGGAATGTGCTGTGAAAGAGGAATGTTTCTTCCTCTCTTTGGAGTTCTCACTCTGGGCCCCTCTCCACCTTCACACACTGCCCCAGAGGAAATACAGGATCTTATTGTAATGGTGAATGTAGAAGGAGAAACAGGTATGTGGAGCTCAGCCCCTTCTCGGTCTCCCTTTTGGAAGCCAGCTGCCCCAGGGAGCATGCTTCTCAGCTCCTGCACCCATAAATGCAGGACTCTCACAACTACCATGACTAGGTAAGTCTGGAGAACGTTGAGGTTCAGTGTTAAGTTCACTTGCCTGTAGATGTTAAGTCACATTCTCCAATACAGCTTTTATTAGCAATAGAGTCAATATTTCGGTCTCCCAAATGCCCTCCTCTTTTATCCTATTTCTCAATTCATATAGAACTCAGCCAAGGGAAGAACAATCCTATTCACTGGGTATCAAAGACCCTTGCATCTGGTGCATAGGACTAAAATCTTAATAAACAGACATAAAGTAAAATTCAAGGGGTAAAATACATATGGAATTTCTGAGGCTTCTGTTGAGGCCAGGATTTTGGGCCTCGGACTTTAAAGGGGGAAAAATGTTTTCTTGTAGAAGCTTATGTTAGACTTTTTACTGTTGTTTTTACAGTTGTGCACTAGCTTTTTTTTTTTGAGACAGAGTCTCACTTTGTTGCCCAGGCTAGAGTGAGTGCTGTGGCATCAACCTAGCTCATAGCTCATAGTAGCTGGGACTATAGGCATACGCCACCATGCCCCGCTAATTTTTTTTTGTATATATATTTTTAGTTGGTCAATCAATTTCTTTCTATTTTTAGCAGAGACAGGGTCTCGCTCAGGCTGGTTTCGAACTCCTGACCTTGAGCAATCCGCCCACCTCGTCCTCCCAGAGTGCTAGGAGTACAGGTGTGAGCCACCACACCCGGCCTGTGCACTAGCTTTTAACTACTGAGGCTGAATTAGAGATTTATAAACAATAGGCCACATGATATTTTGACCTTAGCAGTAACTGTAGTTATGGCAACTTTGTCTTTAGTTAAGCAGCGGTTTCTATAGTGACAAGGCTGCTGGCACTAGGCACACAGCCTCAGCAAAGGGCTGGGGGCTTTGCAAGCCTTATCAAGAAACAAGCCATAGAAGATTGTGAGGTGCAGTGGCAGGAGTGACACTGAAAGCTCATTTAAATGTCGCCTCTGCAGGTGGCCTCAGCATACACTAGCCACTCTGGCCTAGCAAGCAAATGCCAGCTGTGCTGGCCTCAGCAAAGGGAACAGGGCATTAGCAGGCTTGGGTGGCTTCAGTGTACAGAAGGCTGCTGCCTGACCTTGAATTATGCCAGCAAAGCTTTTCCTAAGCAGGCATGGCTGAGGGAAAGATTACACTTCAGGGAAAAGAGACTTTCTTCCTACAGGCCTTTTAAACATTAGAAAGTAGAACAATTATTTGCTGCATGTAAGCTGCAAAGCAGCTGAATTTGAAACAGACAAATGCATTACAAAATCAGTGAAGTTCTACATTTAAATTGCCAGTGCTAGGCTTATACAGGTGATTCAAAGGGGAAACGGAAATGAAGAAGTTTCTGACTATACCTCATATAAGGAAAGAAAGATGGACAGATGGAAGGGAGGGAGGGAGGAAGGACACAGGCATACCACCCTGACCCAGATTTGCTGGTTAGAACCAATGTGCTAAGAGACAAAAGCTAGAGAATGTTAGGGGAGGACAACTTTTCCCCCCACTCTTTAAGCTTCCTTCTACATGGAAAATATCAATTATTTAATGTTCCTGGCTTTACCATATCCCTGACTCATGATGTCAGTGGTGAAGTGACTTATCTAAGTCTAGAAGAAGAAACTGGACTTACAAAGTCCAGGCCTTTCCTTCTTCCCTTTCCCTTTCCCTACCTGTTCCGCTCTGCTCCTCCACTCCTCTAGGAGGCAGGTTAACTCCAGATTAGTGCTGCTGCGTGCATGAACCTGTTAAGTCCTGGAACTCAGTTTTAGGAAGCCTATTTGCCCCCTTAGGTTTCAGCTAGTTCTCCAATGTCAATGTTTTTAACAATAAAAGTGAAAATTTGAACTCCACCTGCCTTATTCCTTTGTCCCATGTCTATGTTGATCCAGAATTTGGGAAGAGAAGAGAATACTATTTATTGGGTCCCATTCAATCCCAACTTATAGCTGAAACTTATCCCCTCAGAATTAAGTCCAATTTTCTGCATCAGCTTTATCATTCCAAGTAGCCCATTACCACAGTATCAATAACATACTTTCATTTCCTAAGCTTTGTACTAATCTCATTTCTAGTTACTCCAATGTACACACTATTCTGCACTTCCCTCAAACCCTTCCATTCCCTCCATACACGTGCCAATACCTATCTATGTATACCCCCAGTCCACACCCTGCTGGAAATCCCTTCCCTCACCAACCCACATCTCTTTCTATTCTCCAATTTTTATCTCTCGAAATCTTTCCTGATTAATCCCATATAATCTACTGACTCCATGTCATATCGATACCTATTTTTCTTCGTTCTTTATTTTGTTTGTTCTCATTTGTTGTTATTATTGGAACTATCCTTAATAGTTTTTAATGTGTTTCTTGAAAAGGCCTTGAATACATCCTTGTTTGAAGGCATGGCTTCTAGTGTGTCTAGGGATCTAAGTCAATTTTACTGTCCTTTTGACAAAATATAAGTAGAATAAAGTAGGCAATACAGAAGCATATGGTCACCTAAGGATTCCACTTGGGAAGTGACAAAGGGTTTCTGTGTTGGTGCTAACAAAGTCATGAACAAGTCAACGCAAATACGCTCATTTATGTAAAAAGCAACTGGAGGAATAAACAAATACTGCCAAAGCTCTCATAAGACGACATGACAACACAAGTGTTTGATTTCTGCCTCAGAACATCACTGCACCTCAGAGTAGTCACCAGTTTGCCATACGTGGTAAGCGGAGGACAGTCTTGACCTCAGAGTAGTTACCAGTTTGCCATATGTGGTAAGCGGTGGATAGTCTTGACCCGGCACAGTGCTTGGCACACACAAGACAGAGCTGAACAAATGGTAATGACTAAATGCAAGTAATGTCATACCCAGCATCTGTGCAAGGTCTCCTATAAAAGTTGGCAAATAGGTTAATATTTTCCAATCCCTCCAGGATCCAACCCTCACCTGTCTCTCCAGCCACAACTGCCTAGTCTCTTTGTTCCTTTTGTTCCAGCCATACTGGACTACGTACAGCTTTGCCAACATGCCAGATTGTTTCAGGTTTCCATGTTTTTGTTCATATAACTCCTTCTGCCTTTCCCTCCGCCAATGCCACCAGAGAACACGCTCCTTGTCACTTGAGACTCACTTTTATAAAGTATTTCCTCATCCATTCCTAGGCAGAAGTAAGAATTCCTTCCTTAGTGCCCCCGGTGGATCTTGTTTGAATTCTATTATAGGATCTGTAATACTCTTTATTGGATTTATTTGCTCACATAGATGCCTCTATGTGATAGGGATTAGATTGTCAACCCCTTGATACTAGCCACTATATCTTGTTAATCTCTGTACTCATAGTCTACTTAAAACTGTGTACCTGGTATTTAATATGTATTCAATACATTTCTATGTAAGAATGACTGAATTAGTCAACTATCATGATTTTTATTTAAAATGCAACAGATATCAATTCAGTAAACATTTACTGTGCCTCTAGCACATGCCAGACGGTGCTGGGCTAATGTGGTGTACTAGAATGAGCTGAGACTTTGAAGGAGCAGAATCATTCTTCTTTCTCAGTTACTAGCTGTGTAATCTTGCTCAAGTTACTTAATCTTCTAATCCTCAGTATTTTCATCCATAAAACTGAGCAGGAAGAGGTGTTAGAAGGATTAAACTACATACACATAGCTCTTAGCAAGGTGTCTAGGAGCAGCACACGGGCAGTAAAAAAAGTTAGTTCCTTTCTAAGAAGTCTCAGAGGGTGTAGTAAAGGAGACAGAAATAAATAACTTTAATGAAAAATAATTAATAATTTATTACTGTAATAACAACAGGTACACTTAGAACACAGATGAAAAAGGATTTCTGCCAAGAGAGTCTGGGGGAAGGGGACAAGAGGAAAACTACAAAAGGGAAGAGTAGAGAGTTGCGTTTTTCTCCCCTTTTCCAAACTCTTAAGCAAAGAGAAAAGCATCAACCAAGGCACAAAGCCATGAAGAAAAAACTACACACCCAGGACACAGAAAGTGGTCTATTAAGACTTACAGATAGGGATTCACTGAAAATGAAGCCAGAAATGGTGACTGGAATTAGATTTTGAAGGCATTTGTAGAACCAAATCTGTAGCTACTGGGCACTATAAGAGCTGTTTCAGCAAAGGTGTGGCCTGAGTAAATCTACCATTTAGAAAGCTAATGTGGACAACAGACTGAAGCAAAGGAGTGGTGAGAGGCAGAGAAGCCAGGAATATACTCACAGAAAACCCTGGAATTGCCAATTCTAATAACTAAGATCTAGCTTTCCAGGATGAGGCACCAAATGTCAGTATCCATCCCCCAGTGCTTTTCCAAGGGACCTACCAGACAGTAGGAATGCAAGGGGCTGAGGTGATGGCCACTTTAAACATCCTTCTGTAAGAACTTCAAAAAGGAGCAACAATGTCAGAAAGTACTTTTCTTCTTTTCAAGATGAAGACTCTTCCATTTCTTTTCTTTTTTAAAATTAATTAATTAATATTTCAGAATATTACAGGGGTACAAACGCTTTGGTTACATATATTGTCTCTGTACCCCCAGGTTAGAGCTACGATCGTGCCCAATCCCCAGACATTGGGCACCATACATACCCATTAGGTGTGAAATTACCCATCCCCTGCTAACTCACCCTCTCTTTTTTTTTCTTTTTGAGACATGCCTCGCTCTATCTCCCCGGCTAGTGTGGTGGCATCATTGTAGCCATTGTGGTGGCATCACAGCAACCTCGTACTGCTGGGCTCAAGCAATCTTCCTCCTGCCTCAGCCTGCCTCAGCCTCTGAGTACCTGGGACTGCAGGCGAGCGCCACCACTCCCAGCTAATTTTTCTATTTTTGGTAAAGACGGGGTCTTGCTCTTGCTCAGGCTGGTCTCGAACTCCAGAGCTCAAGCGATCCTCCTGCCTTGGCCTCCCAGAGTGCTAGGATTACAGGCGTGAGCCACTGCGCTGGCCGAGGACTCTCCCATTTCATTGCTGTATATTTTTTAAAAACTTACCTTTGACAGTATCCTGGGGCAACACAAGCCCGTACGGATGAATCTAGGTTACATTCAGTGCAAAAAACCAAAATCCTGAAAAGAGAGAAAAACCACAATGAGGCACATGCTCAGAGCAAGATGCCAAGGGAAGCATCAGCGCAGGCACCTGGGGACATCCAGCCACTCGGGTCACCCGCTATCGTCTCTGAGCCCTCGGCCTAACCTCGCAGGCCTCAGCTTCCTCATCCAACACTAGGAACAATAACAGCATCTTCCTTACAGAGTTCTTTCGAAGTTTAAATGAAATAGGTATAAAACTCTTAGTACAGGCCAGGCGCAGTGGCTCACACCTGTAATCCTAGCACTCTGGGAGGCTGAGGTGGGAGGACTGCTTGAGCTCAGGAGTTTGAGACCAGCCTGAGCAAGACCATGACCCTGTCTCTACTATAAATAGAAAGAAATTAGCCAAACAACTAAAAATAGAAAAAAAAATTAGCCGGGCATGGTGGCGCAAGCCTGTAGTCCCAGCTACTCGGGAGGCTGAGGCAGGAGGATCACTTGAGCCCGGGAGTTTGAGGTTGCTGTGAGCTAGGCTGACACCACGGCACTCTAGCCCAGGCAAGAGAGTGAGACTCTGTCTCAAAAAATATAAAATAAAATAAAACTCTTAGTACAGGGCAGGGCACCAAACACATACTCAGTAAAAGGCAAGTGGTTATTAAGAACGTGAACTGAAGCCAGGTGCAGTGGCACATGCCTGTAGTCCCAGCTACTCGGGAGGTTGAGCCAGAAGATCACTTGAGCCCAGAAGTCCAAGGCTGCAGTGAGCTACGATCACACAACTGCACTCCAGCCCAGGCAACAGAGTAAGGCCTTGTTTTGTTTAAAACAAAAAAGAACGTGAACTGAAACACTTTCTGAAGAAACATTAAAAGCTATATTAAACCTTCTCTCTCTCTCTCTCTCTCTCTCTCTCTCTGAGACAGGGTCTTGCTTTGTTGCCCAGGTTAGTGTGCAGTGGTGCAATCACAACTCACTGCACCTTCAAACTCCTGGGCTCACGAGATTCTCCAGCCTCAGCCTCCTGAGTAGCTTGTACTACAGGCTCACACCACCATGCCACCTAATTTTTAAATTTTTCTGTAGAGATGGGGTCTCACTATGTTGCCCGGGCTGGTGTTAAACTATTAGCCTCCCAAAGTACTGGGATTACAGGCATGAGTTACCATGCCTGACTTACTATTTATTTTACTTTTGTTTATTCTACCAGAAAAATACCAAATTGTCTTTTGATGTCTCTATCTGGAAGTCTCCTAATCACTTCAGATTCAACAGGTACCTAACTCCACCCTCCCTCCCCACCCAGGCCCTGACACTCATCCCAGATTTCTCACCTGACCCTAGACCCCTCATATCAGCCTGTCAGCAAGTCCAACCATTTCTGCTTTCAAAGTGTGTTTCTCAGCTCTATCCACAAGTCTTCATGTTCCCTGCCATCATCATTTCTCATTCATGGAGGCCTCCTAGCTGGTCCCTGGCCCTACTCCTGTTCTTCCCCAATCCATTCCCCAATAATGGCTGGAATGGCCTCTTCAAAATCAATTCACGGCAAGTTGCTAATAAATGCAGTGAAAATTTTATTTATTTCATAATGAAATGTCTATGAAATATATCTTCATATAATGTGAATATACAGATACATGCACATATATGAAATGGCCAGTCCCTTCATTTTACAATGGCACAAATGCCAAAGGGACATGCTGCTCAAAGTTAGACCTATCTGTGTGTGAAGGTGGTTAAAGCAATGGTGAGCCCAGCAGAAGCTTATCTGTGATCAATGTCTACGCCACTGTCAGAAAGCTGTCACTTCTCAGAAGTTGGCCCCTTAGTTTCACAATCCACCTAATGCTTCTGTCCAAGACAATGTGTTCCATTCCCCACGGCTATGGATCGTGAAGTACAGCCTCAGCCCACGGTATGCACGGTGATAAGGTGGTGCTATATACAGTGAACCCTGAAAACAGCGCACTGCCCTCTTACCTGTCATCACCTCTACTTTGGCTTACTCTGGAGTGTTTTAATCAATAAATCTGAGATGGAATTGTGTTGTGATGAGAATTAGAAATACTTTGTCTCCCTGTCCCCCTACTAAAATACACTGCTGCTCTAGCACTCTTTCTTTCTCAAAAGCAAATCTGGCCTCTGGGTACACTGCTGCTTACATTTAGTCAATAACTGTCTATTACCAAGATCTCTCCAGACCCACCATCACTTCCTGTGGACTGTGTGCAGTTTCCCTGCCCACGAGATAGGCACTGATGTCTATTGAGGGCACTCTGCCTAATTCCCTTCCACCTCTTTTAGGTGTTAGTTATCTACTGGAATTTCTCTGTGCCCTCCTTGGCTGGACAAAGTGTTCACCCTTTGAGATTTATCATTCTATACTGTTAATGTCCATGGGCCTGTTTTCTTCACTCAGCAGGAACTCCTTGATGGCAAAGACTATGGTCTTACACACCTCTGAATTTGGTATTGGATAGGAGCGGAATAAACATGAGCTGCACTGAATCCCAATGGGACCCCAGAGTTCAGTAACTCAATGTGGATGCACATCCACTCAGTGGCACTGGTGAAAGGTGAAGAAGTTACCTGCAACTTCCAAGATGGGGCTCCATGAGTGCTCCTCATGGAGCACTCAAGGCTCTGTGGTTATGTCTGACCATCGGCACCTCAGAGAATGACTGGATTCTTTAACTTTTTGTCAACTGCAGACTATCAAGAGAACACTAACTTTTAGTTCCCTATTATGATTACAGTTTCTGCCTAGGCTAAAAAACAACTTCTCTAGCTATATCATTAGTCCATATTTATTACATATCTTCCTTTTTTTGAGACAAGGCCTTGCTCTGTTTTCCTAGGCTAGAGTGCAGTGGCTCTCTGCAACCTCAAACTCCTGGGCTCAAACCATCCTCCTACCTCAGCCTCCTAAGCAGCTTGGCCTACAGGCATGCGCCACCACACCTGGCTAATTTTTCTATTTTTTTTTTTCTTTCTTTCTAGAAATGAGGTCTCATTCTTGCTTAGGCTGGTCTCAAGCTCCTGACTATAAGTGATCCTCCTGCTTCAGCCTCCCAGAGTGCTAGGATTAAAGGTGCGAGCCACTGTACCTGGCCATACATATCTTCTTAATAGACAAGTTTAGAAGGAGACAGTGACCAACTCAGTCCTTTGCCTGCTTGGTAGTGGGTCTCAGACATTTGCCAGCACTCAGTGAGGAAAAAAAGGAGTTAAAGCAGAGGACAGGCAGACGAGGGAAACCAGGCAGTTTTCCAAGTATTCTTGAATACAGTTTTTAATAGAACAGCTTCATTACTTTCTCTGCAAGGCTGTGAACCTCTGTATTAAGTGCACTCATATTCAAGATAAACAAAAAATTAATTCTAAAATCAACATTTTTGCTATCTAGTTGAAACTATATCTAGTTGAAACTATCTACAACAGTATTTTTCTTCTAAGGTATGAATAATGGCAAATTCCTTCAAAACATCATTTTGAAATGTTCAGAACTACATTGAAACCCTACCATCTGATCATGTATAGCTACAGCAGTAAAACTAATTGCACCACTCTAGTTTCCTCTGTCTTCTTGCAGAGCAACCAGACTGATCTTGGGATTCACACCGGGGGTGGGAAGGTTCAGTGGATCTTGGATTATATCCATCCCCAGACCCTGCTAAACTGCAAGCAGACTTCAGAATTCTTCCAACGCCAAGTACCTGACTCAATTCACAGGATGTAATTAGAACTAAATCTTTCCTAAGGAATATGGCAAGCTGAAAGAAATACATATTCAACAAACTATATTTACTTTACTAGTATCATCTCTGATATGGCAGGGTTTTAATTTTCAAATTTGACTATTCAGCATGATTCTTTTAAATTTAATTTGAATTCTCATTTAAAAGATTCAGGCGGTATGCATAAGGCTCTTGACCACTGTCCCCTCTCCCTCATCCCTGTTTTCCCAGGACAAATCACTGTTATTAGTTTGAAATTCAGTATAATTCTTGGGATGCAAACTATTAAGAATGTACTATAGGCCAGGCGTGGTGGCTCATGCCTGTAATCCTAGCACTCTGGGAGGCTGAGGTGGGTGGATTGCTCAACGTCAGGAGTTCAGAACCAGCCTGAGCAAGAGGGAGACCCCATCTCTACTATAAATAGAAAGAAATTAATCGGCCAACTAAAATATATATATAGAAAAAATTAGCCGGGCATGGTGGCACATGCCTGTAGTCCCAGCTACTCGGGAGGCTGAGGCAGGAGGACTGCTTGAGCCCAGGAGTTTGAGGTTGCTGTGAGCTAGGCTGATGCCACGGCACTCACTCTTTAGCCTGGGCAACAAAGCGAGACTCTGTCTCAAAAAAAAAAAAAGAAAAGAAAAAGAATGCACTATAAACTTTTAACTGAGTCACAAATAACTCTGAAAACCCTGACTGCCTACATCGTTGGCAACCGTCCTAACTTCAAGCAAGACCTCCAGAAGACACATCTTAACTGAGGCAGCAGAGGTGGAGGAGGAGCAGAACGCCAGCAAAGACGCCTGGAGGGTCTTCCCAGGAAGTGAGCAAAGATGCCCGGAGACAGGAGGGTACAACCCGCCCAGCTCTGTGAGCAGGGCACCTGGCCCAAGTGGGCTGAGATACCTAGTGGATTAAGTAACACAAATAATATCAAAAGCCTATGGAGCACAGGTGAATGCCAGTCTGCTGCTACAAGCAGATGGGTTTATTTAGCCACCAACACACAAGAGATTTACTATGCTTCCAAGATCTGAAAATGCTACCTTTGCCAGGGTACCTGCCTGACCTCTGCTACCCCTACTTCCATTCAACACTTCAGAAATTCTGTAAAAACATTCAAGTCTGCCCATTCCTAAAAACATCCCCTGTAATCCTAAAATCTGTTCTAGCTATTGTGCTCTTCCTTCCCTCTTTCCTCTCCTAGTCAAGCTTCTTGAAAATGCGGTTTATACTTGAGGTCTCAACATCCTTCTCTCCCATTCACTGCAATTTGATTTCTGGCCTATC